TTCATATGAAGTTTATACACAAAAGCAAAGAACAAAAAAATGATATATATATATATATATATATATTTTTTTTTTTTTTTTTTTTTTTTTACCTTAAACAGTTGGTCTTGTTAAACGAAGTTTGTACTTTGGTGTTTTATAGGTCACTTTCATCTGCACACACAACAACACATCCGCCAGTCTCCTGCCAAAACCTCCATGGGATTGAGACACTACGCAGCAGCTTCATTTGTGACAAAGCAATCACCATTGTTAACAAGCCTCTGATCCTGGTGTTCCGCTTGCTCATTGGCCACATGAAAAATGCAACAATCGCCTAGGTGAGGTGCACATGTTGCATGTTGTATACAGTTATTTTCTGTTACTGAACTCAGTGAGCAAGGAGGGAAAATAACAGAAGAGGATTGGAAAACAGCCACAGGGGGTCCCGCCCTCCCCTGCCGAGAATGTTATGAACTTGTCTGGGAGACGGAGATGTAGGTCCCATGGCTAATGCAATATTTATTATTCTCGTCGCTCCAGCTGTAGACACAAACAATGTATAATGGATCAAATATCTTTCCTAAACAACACTCTCATAACCTTCACCTCGAAGGTGCATACGATCTGTTCCCTTTTGAGCACTTCCTTAATTGCATGTGCATGTCACCAGGCAACAAGTTGGGGATCAAAATGGTCAAAGGCCCCAATTATTGCTTGGTTGCGGATCCATTAATGCAAGGGACTTTGTGTGATGGGAGTGCATATTTTAGACAAGCACATCTCCCCTTCCAAACCCACTTTTGCCTTGAGTAAGTATGCATCTTCAAAGGCAGGGAGGGCTTGTTTTGAACTACAAGCAGGTTTGCCGTCTCCCATTCTTTGTTCTACTAATCATCCCTTGGGCATGCACCGTCCATAACAAAGGATGTAACAACAAGCCGTTATCTGGTGAGGAAACAGGAAAATAGATATCCCCACAGTGCATAATTTAGTGTTGCTCCCATTTCTATTTACCAGCCATCAGAGGGAATCAGGCTGTACATTTCTGAAAAGGGGAGACAAAAAATATAGACGGTGTGAAAGGGGTGAAGAACATTAAATTATCCAATATGTCTTTATTATGTGTAAATGCACAGCAGGCAAGGCAGTTTTTTTTTTTTGTCTGTGTGTTCGTTGTGCCAAAAACGCAAAGTTTCATGTCATTATTAGTTACTAAAAAACAAAGCTGTAAAACTAGTCGGTATGCCACACGATTTACCAGCACAGATACAAAACACAAGACATTTCATACTGCAGGAGGAGGTTCTGGGCTTTGTAAAATCCATGCAGATTCATTAGGCATGTGGTGTTTTTAGCAGGCTGGCAAGCTTCAGATAAGGATGCCCTAACATTCTCTCTGTGTAGGTGTGTGAGTGCATGCGTGTAAGGGGGAGGAGATTAGAAATGGAATAAAGGTGTTGCTACCAGTGCAAGTGAAAGAGATTGAGTCAGACTAGGCTTACCTGTAGCAGACTGCTCACACTGATTTACTGAGTGGGGAAGCCAACACGCTCACTCGACACTACCTGTCTCTCACTTGCACCCACATACACACACACACATACATAAAGAGACAGATAAGGGTATATATACATATATATATATATATGTATATACGTACGTATGGATGTATGTATGTGTGTGTGTGTGTTGGGGGTGGGGGGTGGGGGTGCAAGAATAAACTGGGAGCTTTTTCTTGCTTTAAGCTCTATATTATAAATAAAGTTTCACTGTAACCAATCTGGGCAGCACGGTGGCGCAACTGGTAGAGCTGCTGCCTCTCAGCGAGCAGGTCCTTGGTTCAAACCCCGGTCCAGGGGCCTTTCTGGGTGGAGTTTGCATGTTCTCTCCGTGCATGTGTGGGTTTTCTCTGGGTGCTCCGGTTTCCTCCCACAGACCAAAAACATGCATGTTAGGCTGATTGGTAACTCTAAATTGTCCCTAGGTGTGAGTGAGAGAGTGAATGGTGGTTTTTCTCGATTGTCTGTATGTGGCCCTGTGATGGACTTGCAACCCGTCCAGGGTGTACCCGCCCCTCACACAGTGACTGCTGGACATGGGCACCGGCGACCCCCGTGACCCAAAATGGAATAAGCAGGTAAAGATAATGGATGGATGTAACCAATCCCTAAAAGCTTATTTTCTCTATTATGGGAGTTTTCAAGGTTCAGGATGAAATCAAATCTAAACTCTTGATTTAATTGTTTTTAATCAGACCAGCACATGTTCAGCTTTGATCTGAAATCAAATTCACATGATAAGTCTCAGTAAGGACACAATACATTTTCACACCAAACCTAATTTTAAATGTTACACTTTTTTTTGACATTTGAATCATTTGTATGTCCAGTCCTTGACTGAATTTTTTATTTGTATTTTTAGATCAAATTGTTTATTGAACTAAATACCTACAAGTAATATCACACAGAGTACATAATCTCAAAAGTATCAAGGGTACAAAGAAGCATTTCTAAAACTTGCCTTTGCAAGAATATCTGTTGGAGAACTCACGTTCAATTGAACTTTCAATGTCAAGGCACTACCATTTTGAGTTGTAAACAGTGACAGAATCCTAATAACAATATGCAACACTTCACCCTTTGTTAATAACCAACTTTCATCTGGTGTCAATCCTAATACAAAACTCCAATTACCCAAGCCTTTACTGGAGTGAAAATAATTAGTGTTTCCATCCTGGCTAACTAAGAAAAGCAACAGCAGCTTACATTTAGACTGAACTGCAATAGTTTGACTCTTTAGTACTTGGCCTAGTAAAACGTGTCTGCCTCAGAATTGTCTATTTGCACTTGTATTCCATTTTCTTGTAGCCTTCACAATGACAAAAAAAATAATAATAATTTCCGAATAACTTTCCTTAAAGGCTGCAGTTCACATGTATTGTGGAGAAAAAAATGTGGACCGTTTAAGGCCCCATCTACACTATTCCTAATTCTTTCTAAACAAATGTTTTCCATGCAGTATGGATTGTTCATTTAAAATGTTACAGTATTTAAATTTAAATTGTAGAGAAGAGAAGCACAACAGGACATCAAAGAGTTAACCCTTCACACAGCTCTGCAGCACAAAGCAGAAATGTACTTCTTGATCAATTACACTGAAACAACTGAATATAGAAGTTCTAAAATAATACAAAATAACTTTTAACACTTTTTGTTAATACATTTTGTGATTATGACGATTTTATGATGTGACATACTTTGAATTTTAAGTTGGAAGACAAAAGTTGATCTGTGCATCTGGACAGCAAAGGGTTAACCATTCACAAAGCCGATGCAGCAGGAGAAATGTGCACATGGCAGAGAACGAAGATCATGACAGGCTGCAGGAGGGAGCTTCCCCCTGCACCTGTGGGCTGCACATACTGTAGGTGCAAAATCATTTACAATCATTTATTTTAAATAAACAATCCATGGCTCTTCCATCAATCAGCCAATTGTGTCATGTCCAATCTTACTTTGAAAAACCGTGATATAGAGAATCCGTGAAAAATGTATAACGAAGTAGCAAGCGACTACTGTATTAAATGATCTGCATAGTCAGGGTGTAGCAAGCTGCTCTGTTTCCTAACACTAACATCAAATGTGTTAACACATTTTTTTATTTTATTTTTTATGTTTACTGCTGTTTCCCCCTGTAGTTCTTTAAAACAGTAGACCAATACATGTAGGGAAAAAAAAAAAAAGTTTTGCAGACTTTCCAACTAATAACTAAATTGATTAAATTGTAATGGTGTAAATGAGTAATAAAGCAATGCCTTTAAATTTAATCCTCAAACTGCATCTGGTAATGACTTCTCTACCAATCAAATCTCATTGTGCACGGCTGTGTGTGTGAATTGGTACAAGCAGTTAATTTTCAAATCTCTAACACCCACACGACAAGTTCATGTTGAAGTATATTTTAACTGTCATAAATATTATTTATGTCATTATTTGATATGTTTTATTTACATATATGGTTTACATTGTTTATTTTTATGCATACTGATTTGTTTGTAGGCAGCACGGTGGTGCAAATGGTAGAGCTGCTGCCTCTCAGTGAGCAGGTCCCTGGTTCAAACCCTGGTCCAGGGGCCTTTCTGGGTGGAGTTTGCATGTTCTCTCCGTGCATGCATGGGTTTTCTCTGGGTGCTCCGGTTTCCTCCCACAGACCAAAAACATGCATGTTAGGCTGATTGTCCATTGTTGTCATCTTTCTTTGTTGAAATCAGGTCTCTCTTGTAAATGAGTCCTCAAGGCTCAATGGGATTTACCTGTCTAAATAAAGGTTGATTGATTGATTGATTGGTAACTCTAAATTGTCCCTAGGTGTGAATGAGAGAGTGAATGGTTGTTTGTCTTGTTTGTCTCTATGTGGCCCTGTGATGAACTGGAAACCCGTCCAGGGTGTACCCCGCCCCTCGCACTGTGATTGCTGGACATGGGCACCGGCGACCCCCGTGACCCAAAATAGAATAAGTGGGTAAAGATAATGGATGGATGGATAGATATATGCATATCTACATTTTGTACATTGTTGTGAATTTTGATCAGTTCAACGTTGGATTTGATGATCATAAGTGCCTTTAAGCTCTTTCTTGAATCACCACCTTATTGTGGTGGAGGAGTTTGTGCGCTTGATTGATCCTAGGAGCTATGTTGTCTGGGACAGTTTTGAGTGCCCCTGGCAGGGTCTCCCAAAGCAGATTGGGTCTAGGTGACAGGCCAGCCAAAGAGTGATTCAGAATACTTTTGATAGACAACAGAAATCAAGGAACTCAGTGTCCATTGCCTGGACTTGGGCTACCTGGGCCCTACCCTGGAGCCAGGCCTGGGGGAGGGGCTTGTCGACAGGTGCTTCGTGACCAGGTCTCCACTCATGGGGCCTGGTTGGGCCCAGCCCATAGAATAATAATGGGTTTGCCTCCCTGTGTGCCCACCACCTGCAGGAGGGGCCATACAAGTTGGGTGCATGATGCCATGGGTAGTGGCCGAAGGTGGGGCCCATGGCACTCTGACCCTGGCTTACCAAAGCCATCTCTTGGGACATGGAACATAACCTTTTTTTGGCAGGGAAGGAGCCTGAGATTGTGCATGAGGTTGAGATGTACCAATTAGATATAGTTGGGCTCACCTACATGTACTGTATGGGCTCCGGAACTAATCTCCTTGAGAGGGGCTGGACTTTATTCCACTCTGGAGTTACCCATGGTGAGATGTGCCAAACTGGTGTGGGTGTAATTTAGGTCCCTCAACTTGGTGTCTGTGTGTTTGAGTTTTCCTCAGAAGATGAGAGGGTGGCTTCCCTCAACTTTCAGGTGGGGGGACGGGCTCTGACTGTTGTTTGTGCCTATGTGCCAAATGGCAGTTCAGAGTATACAGCCTTCTTGGAGGCCTTGGCGGGGGTGCTGGAAGGTGCACCAGCGGGGACTCCTTTATTCTACTGGGGAACTTCAATTCACACATGGGTAATGACAATGTGACCTAGAGGGGTGTGATTGAAAGTAGCATTCTCTCTGATCTGAACTTGAGCGGTGTTCTGTTGTTGAACTTCTGTGCTAGTCTTAGTTTGTCCATCACGAACACCATGGTTGAACATAAGGGTGTCCATAAGTGCACTTGGCACCAAGTCACCCTAAGTTGTAGATTGATTATTGACTTTGTAATTGTGTCATCTGATTAGTCATCTGGCTCTGGATGTTGAGGGTCTAGCTTGATTGACACACCTTTGCAAAAGTGCATAGACATCGGGGGCAGTGCCACTGGATTGGCAGACTGGGGTGGTAGTTACCCTCTTAAAAAAAGGAAAACTGAGGGTGTTAATTATAGGGTATAACACTCTTTAGCCTCCCTGGCAAGGTCTATTCAGGGCTACTAGAGAAGTAAGTCAGATCATTGGTCAAACCTCAGATCCAGGAGGAAAAATGTGGGTTCTGTCCTGGCTGAGGAACACTGGATCAGCTCTTTACCCTCACTAGGGTCCTCAAGGGGTCATGGGAGTTTTCCCATCCTGTCTACATGTGTTTTGTGGACTTGGAGAAGGCTTTCAACCATGTTCCTCAATGTATACTATTGGGAATGCTCCACAAGTATGGGATTGGGGGTCAGTTGCTACGGGCTGTTTGGTCCCTATATAAGCAGTTCAAGAGTTTGGTCCACATTGGTGGTAGTAAGTCAGACCCCTTTGGGGTGCGAGTTGGTCTCTATCAGGGCTGCCCATTGTCACCGATTCTCTTCATAACTTTTGTGGACATAATTTTTCAGTGCAGCTAGGGGGCAGAGGGATGGTGTTTCAGTGGCCTCGAGATTATTTCTCAACTCTTTGCAGATGATGTGGTCCTGTTGGCGTCATCATACTGTGACCTTCTGGTCTTACTGGAGCAATTTGCAGCAGAGTATGAAATTGATGGAATGAAAATCAGCACCTCCAAATCTGAGGCCACAGTCCTCAGTCAGAAAAGGGTAGATTGCTCTCTTCAGGTTGAATGTGAGGTTCTGCCTCAAGTGGATGACTTCAAGTATCTCTGGATTTTATTCACAAGTGAGGGGAGAATGGAACGTGAGATTGACAGATGGGTTGGTGTAGCATCTCCAGTACTGCAGACTCTGTGCCGGTCTGATGTGGTGAAGAGGGAGCTGAGCTGCAAGCAAAGTTCTCTGTTTACCGATCAGTGTATGTTCCTACCCTGATATAGAGCTGAAATATGATTACATGAATGCAACTTTGGGCCTAGTTATGCTGGTTAAGCTGACGTAACTTGATAAATCATTTCTTGGATTGCAGTCAGAACCAATGACTTAATCTGGTCACATTAACTGACATAGATAAATGGTTTAGATCCTACCTCCCTGACAGAAATTTTTTTGTCAACATCAAATATTTTAGTTCAACATCTGCAGAGCTTCAATTGTCAATTGTGTGTGTGTGTGTTGGGGGGGGGGGGGGGGACCACAGGGGTCCATCCTCTGTCCTCTTCTCTTTTCTTTATACCTGCTGCCACTAGGTGCTATTTTCTGTAAACACAACATATCCAATCATTTCTATGCAGATGACTGTCAAATTTACTTCCCCCTGAGGCACAGTGGTGCATATTCTATTCAACCTCTTCTTGACTGCCTGGCTGACATCAGGGACTGGAAGGCTTTAAATTCCTTAAGTTTTAATGAGAAAAAAATCTGAAGTCATGTTGTTCCCTCCTAATGGCACGATCAAGAACCACTGCATCGACCTTTCCTCTCTAGCCCCATTAGAGACGAAAAGTATCACAAATCTGGGAGTGATAATGGGTCCTTCCATGAAACTTAACAGTCATGTAAACATGATTGTTAAATCCTGTTTTTTTTTTTGTTTGTTTGTTTTTCCAGCTGAGGCGACTAAACTGAAGCCCATACTGTCCAAAAATAATCTTGAGACAGTAATCCATGTGTTCATAACATCCAGGCTCGATTACTGCAATGTGCTTCTGTTTGGAATCAGTCAGACCTCCATTGCATGACTACAAATGGTCCAAAATGCTGCAGGACATTTTTTAACTGGTACAGACCATAGAGAGCACATTATACCAGTTTTGGCCTCCCTGCACTGGCTACCCATTCACCTTCAAATTCTGTTCAAAATACTCCTGTATGCTTTTAAATCACTGAACAGTTCTGCCCCCTCTTATATCACTGATCTTATGCAGCCATATGTCCCATTGCCCTTTCTGAGATCAGCAGCTCAGATGCTTCTTTCAGTTCGAGCGGCTTTGAATGTTATCAGTCCATTCAATGGCTGTTATTAGTTGTTATCGCTATATGTAGCGGTCAAACTGTTATAT